GAGGGGCCTGCCCATAACCCTTGGAATGCCTCGGCTCTGGGCTCAAAGGAGTGGGCAGCTCTGATGAGTTCTAGGGAAAGGGAGGCCTATTTAGAGTCTATCTTGAACTTGTAAGTGGCCTCTAATGAAATGAGCAGCCTTACCATGACACCAACTAGGGATTGACTCAAGTATATGCACTGGCTCTGTCAGCTTCCAGTTGCACGGTCCAGGCCAAGGATCTGAAATCTGCTGAGTACCCCTGCTCCTTACCCAGCTCAGAGCTGCCAATGAAGAGTGGGACAAGGTCAGTGAATGTGCCCTGTGAATCCAGATGCCCTGCTGCAACCTTGCTGAGAGCATCAACCATACACCATGTGTTTGACACACATCATCAGTTCTACTCACAATAACCCTTTCAGGGGATATTGCTCCACCCATTTATCAGATGAACAGACTGAGGCCCAAACATATGAGTACCTAGGAAGCAGATTCAAACAACTCTGCTTTGGTCCAAAGACTCCATCACTTCATCAACTGCCCCATGCCAGACAGGACCCTGGTACTACCTTCCCTGTCACTCTCGGGGTCACCTCCCAGTTCCCTAACATGGCTCACAGTGTCCCCTGGATCCACTGCTTCCTGATCCAGGGCTCTCTCCAGCCATATTCCTTCTCAATCGTTCTCTGACCAGCTCCCACTGGTCAGTGTGCCCCCTCGTATTCTCTCCCCACCAGACCTCACTCACGCATGCCTGCCTCTTATCCAACACCCTCCCGATCTGGAGGCAGCCACACAACCCAAGTGGGTCCAGTGTGGCTCTTTCCTGGAACTTTTCTTTGACTTCCTGAGATAAAGACACACCCTCTCTCCACTGGGGTTTCTGCACCCATACGGTGTACATCTGGAACTGCCTTGGTCAGGAAGAGGACAGCCTAGAGAAGGAACAGAACGAGGAGCTTGACACCTTTGTGACATGGTTTTCGTTTTGAGAATACCTGGATGAATAATGCAGCATTTTCCCTCTTTTTTTTTTTTTCGTATCAAATGGCTTTGAATTCCTCTTAGTTGCAACAGAAGGGGGCGGGGAAAGGGCTCCTATACTTCAAGGTTCATCTCAGGAGCCTCCTCCTCCAGAAAAGCCCTCCCTCCAAGCACCCCAAGTCTCTACTTGTGGTTTTGAATTCCCCATGCCCCCCCTTGTGTCTTCTCTTCCCGAGATTCAAATTCCTTGAGGGCAGCGACATAGGAGGAACTGACATTATCAGACCTATAGAACTGAACAGAACAGATGATTTCTGGAGACTCAAGGCCCAGGCGTCAAACTCAAGAACTCACCTACTAACCACAATGTTCTAAGCTATCCAGAGGCATCTCAGAAGAAAGAACTGGCAACCAGCTTCTGAAAGGTCACAGCCCTGTAAGCCCCTGTGGAGCAGTTCCAGACAGACATGCACAGGGCTGCTCTGCGTCACAGTGAACTCCAAAGCAACCAGTGACAATTGACTAGCACTGTGGTCTTGATCCAGTGAGTCTCGGGCCTTTGCTGTGAAATGGAGATAACCTTCTGGGCAACCTTGTGCGTAGGGAGCTGTGAAGTGTTAACGTCAACTGACAGTGCAAGTGGACGTAGTTAGGAAAGGGCAGGCTGACAGGCTGTCAGGAAGTTTGATTGGCATCCTCCAAGCTCTCTTTCTGCCTCCATGTCCCTCCCATTTGGGTCCCACCCTCCAAGGAGCCTGGAGGTGGTGGCAGGAGGAACAAGGCTGGGAGCGATGCCAGGCACCGAACTGGCTAACTCGCCAGACAGATGAGCTGCCGGTTGATTCTCAACACATCTCTGCCTGGTTGACAGGCCACTCTGCCCCAGGACACAGACTGCAGGGTGAGAGGGTGGGAGCAACTGGAGCCCTGAGAAAGGGGTCTGTGGGAGGACTCTCTCTGTTGAGGTGTGAAGCCCCTGGAGCTGGCCACCTGGATGCAACCCTGGCAAACAGGAGGGGAAGGGATTCTGGTTTGTTGGACCCTTGGGGAATAGAACATGTTTAGAGACTAACGAAAATGGTTGGGAACCGAGCTGAGGACACACAGCAGGGCTGGCACCTGAATCCAGACTCTAATCTGTGCTCCGAGTGGGGCATGTTACTTCCTCCTATCCTTATACAGACTCCACTCATTGCTGTTCCCATTCACAGATGAAGAAAGAGAGTCTTAAAAGCTACTGACACCAATTCTGACTCACAGCAACCCTTAGAAGATTAGGGCAGAGTAGAACTGGCTGTAGATATTTACAGAAATTGACTGCCTGGTGGATTTGAACTACTGACCTTTTGGTTAGCAGTAACAGGAATCACTTAGCCACAGAATTATCAGAAGGAGCCTCCAAGTCAAGGCTAAAGGTAAGATGCAACCTGGGTCTGCTGGAGTCCTCTTTCTTAGGACACCAGGTCAGTTTAAAGCCCAAGGTGCACCTGATCCAGGCCATGGGTTTTTTCACTTGCTTCCTATGCATGTGAAAGCTGAACAATGACCAAGGATGACAAAAGAAGACTTGATGCCTTTGAGCTGTAGTGCTGAACACCCTATGGACTTTCAAAGGAGCAAACAGATTTGTCTTGGAGAAAGTGAAAATAGAGTGCTGCTTAGAGGGAAGGATGATGAAACTTCATCTCACATACATCGAGTTTGCTGTTAGGAGGGGCTGGTCCTTGGAAAAAGGCATCATGCTTTGAAGGGAGGGAGACACATTGACCCAGTGACTGTAACAATGAGTTAGAGTGTATCAGAGATGGTGGGGCTAGCACACGATAGGGCAAGGCTCAGATCTGTTGTGAATAACATTACAATGAGTTGTAGTCGACTGGAAAGCACCTAACAACGATACTGTGGCTGAGTGGTGGACAAAGGGACCATGGGGCAGCCACTGTGCCCCCAGCACTGTGTTTCTCAGGGGCCGCACACTAGGCATTGCCACCACAGACACCCTGCCTGTGCTACTTCCCAGTCCAGCATGCACTTACTGCACACCTCCGAGCGCCAGGTCCTGCACAGGCCCCTGGGGCCAAAGCGCCTGACTCAGCCTGGCCGTGAGGTGCCCAAGGCCTAGAGTTTCTTGGCATTTGTAGGTTGCTACCCAAGCCTATCCATCTGCTGACTAGTTTCATTAAGCACCTACTATGTGCAGGCTCTCCATTCTAAGGGAAAAGTGAACATGTTAGATGCTGTCAAGTCAACTGCGACTCATGGTGACCCTATGAACAGAACAGAACCTTGCTCTGTCTTGCGCCATCCTCACAATCTCCACCATGTTCGAGACCATTGTTACATAAATGAAGAGCCAAAGGTTTTCTCTGCTTGGAAGCTGAGGCTCTCTCTTCTGACTGAGCACTCACTCAGAGCACACCAGCCTCCTAAGTGGGGCTGAGCAGATGGGCAATTCTCCCTGTGCCCAAGGGCTGGCTGCACCCACCCCATGCCATGTTTCCTCCCCTGGAACCTCACTCACCTGACCCACTGTCAGTCTGCACCTGGGATTCCAGCCTCAGTCCACCCAGACCCAGACTGTGGACCAAGCCAGAAAAAATCAGAGATGGGCTCCAAGTCAGGAGAAGCCACAGGCCTTGCCGGGAGGACAGACTCATTCAGCATCCTTTTTATTCCTTCTACCCCCTAACAGGGTGGAATTCTATGGTCTCCCAAGATGCAATCTTTTTTTTTTTTTTTATCAAACCTAACATTTAATGAGAACAAAAGAAACCAGTTGGTAAGAGGCCCAACTACATCACATCCAATCTCAGCTGAGGATGGGGGACAGAGGGTGGCCAGCCCGGAAGTCATACCCCAGGGAGGAACCAGCTCTGAGGCAGGGGCTGTCAGACCTCCAGGGCCTGGCTGGGGTTTCCGGCAGAGGAATGTGTCAAGGGAAAAGACGGCAGTGGGTCATGAGCAGCAGGTAGGACAGGCAGGTGGCCACCGGGGGGTGGGGGGGTGGACGGGACACACACAGAGGGCATGGTCGATTCTCAGGGGTTGACAGGGGCTAGGGAGCCAAGCTCAGGCAGCAGCTCAGGGTGGGGGTCCAAGCGGGCCAGGCGGCTCTGCTCCAGGGCGATGGCCTCAGCTGAGTGCTTG